GTCGTATGACTCTGAATTACAGAATCCAGACATCAAATGACTCTGAATTACAGAAACCACAGATGTTAAATGACCCCGAATTACAGAATCCAGACGTCGTATGACTCTGAATTACAGAATCCAGACGTCAAATGACTCTGAATTACAGAAACCACAGACGTTAAATGACTCTGAATTACAGAAACCACAGACGTTAAATGACTCTGAATTACAGAATCCACAGACGTCAAATGTCTCTGAATTACAAAATCCAGACGTCAAATGGCTCTGACTTACAGAATCCACAGACGTCAAATGTCTCTGAGTTACAGAATCCACAGACGTTAAATGACTCTGAATTACAAAATCCAGACGTCAAATGGCTATGAATTACAGAATCCACAGACGTCAAATGGCTCTGAATTACAGAATCCACGGACGTCAAATGGCTCTGAATTACAGAATCCACGGACGTCAAATGGCTCTGAATTACAGAATCTACAGACGTCAAATGGTGTTTCTGATACTGGTCTTTGAAACCTCAATACAGTCTGAATAAGATGAAATATTTCTCAAAAAGGATCCTAAAATATAGTCAGTTATAGTCCACTCCATTTCCAAATTGGTGTCCTGATTCGTTTGACCTTTTCTATTCACCTCAACTGAAGAGTCAAGTGACTAATTGAAATAAAATATCTTTTGGAGTTTGTTAAAGGTAGTAAGCTTATCAAGTATAAATTCTATATTTTTACAAAAGGTGGAGTCTATTTCCAATCTTGAAAAAAGAAAGAAATTATTATTTTTGGCCAAAATGACTTTGAAATAATATATTTAGCTTTGCTTTGATCATCAAGAAGCAATGTAGAATTGCATTCTTTCAGTTTGTAGAAGAAATGTACACAAGAATCAATAATTTTTTACTTATTTACCTTCGTATTACTTATTTACTACATCACATACCATCAAGTTCACAATGTCAAGGTATTATTTGCTTAACAAGGTATTGCTTAATTAACAATTAGTACATTCCGTTTTTTAATTAACCCTTTTAAATAAACACAGCTTGAGCAAGTAGATACATAGAAATAAATAGCATTTTTAAGAAATATTTTTAAATATAATTTGCAATATATCTAAATATGGGTTCCCTTATTTATGAAAATGAAAATACTAATACTTATATGAATAGAAAATATGGGTGTTCTTTTGACTTGGAAAAATACCAGTTTGTTTCACATGTCCAATGGACATTGTCCACATTTAATTCATAATTAGCTAAATAAGAAGAGTATTATCAGCAGAATTCCAATGAGTGACAATCAAGAAAGTCTATCCAGACTGTATATACATGGACATTTATAATTGGTTAAATCTCTTAACCATATGCAATAATAACATAATGATATGATTAAGAATACATGTTAATTCATTAGAAACACCAATTTATCAAATAGTTTGCTTAATTTGACATTAAAAAATAAGGAAACCCATCTTTAAATATGAAAATTTAACATACTTTCCTTTTAAGCTTATAAACAATGTTCTCAGAAACAAAAGGTTATACGTATATATATGATATTAGCTGGTACAGATATATCATACAGTCAACTATTCCGTCAATAAGACTAAAGAACATGAGAACTAGACAACAATGGTGATTGTGAATGGGTGAGAAAACAATCTTACGAGTAAAACACCAGAATATGTAAGACACCTTCAACCTCGCCACAAGTTGTCACAAGACTAAAATTCACCAGAAAAAAATTGTTCAAACAATAACTAATGGTAAACAAATACAAACTTCAGATAATCCCTTGACAAACTTCGACACTTAGTTACATGTTACAACATGTGTGGCACTTCAACCATTTTAACACTTTCGTGTTAATATGGTCCAAATATTTTTAGCTTTAAACTAGTAATTTTCAACTTTTGAAAAAAAATAGTTGGTGAGTTAGTACTGGTATCTTTAAATATCTGAATACCCAGATGTGTCAAATAGATCTGTCCATTCAAAATAAGTGGAATTTGCACCTGGTTCTCAGCTCATAATTGGGCAATGAGGGAAAATTTGTTCTTGGTCTCATTATTAGATATAGTTGGGGCACATGGGCCACAGTGAACATGTAAATTTTTGCTGACAAGGTACTAGGGCTGAGTAAAATAATAGATTATGGTCACTATGAATTTATTATTTTGATTGTCGATTATCAAATTTCATAACAGACTATGTCGATAAATCTATAGAATATACTTCTAAGACACAAATATAACCCAAGAATTTTTTTAACAAGGTTTGTAATTGATATTCAGTCCTCCTAGTTATATGCATTATATATTTATTAAGGCCAATCATCAACCAAACAATACATTGGTCAAAATACTATTTTCTCATAAATACTAGAGTTTGAAAGTAAGCTGAAACAGATGTTTGTAGGGTGTTGAATCAACTTATATTTTATGAGGAAAATTCAAATTTGACACAAATCTTTTATCATTTAAATTCAAACTTTCATTGTCAGGGCCTACACACAAACATTTACATGATCTTAATTGCAATCTTTTCTTTTCACTAATACACAAATATTTTGACTACACTATGACTCATCTCCTAGAATTATAGCTTATAATATAAAATAGTAAACTTAGTTTATTGTAAATTCCTACATAATTATCCATTTGCAAGTATATTCTAGCAAAAGGCAAGTTGAAAAGGTAAAAATTATAAATCAGGTGCAAATAATTCCCAAATGAATAAAAAATTCGATTCAAGTTATTTAATCTTGAAATGAGATATTTTTGGTCATATTTTGTACAACAATGGTGGCAATTGATTAATTTTATTTAGTAAAGGTTTGATCGATTAACTTGTCTACCAATATTTGGGGTCATATGAGTGCAAAAAAACTCCTTTGTGGAGTATTTAGGAAGTTGAATATATGGAACACCAAAACGGAAAAATTTCAACATGAAAAAATCTCATACCAAGAACTTGAATAAAATGTAAACTTCTTGGTATTTAATGAAAGATTTCGGTATATAATATAAATTTCTTGTTGCAAATTTTTAACTTTTGATATAAATGATTTTAATGTTGGATTTTTTCCGTTTTGGCATTCCATATTGATCGTGGATAAGACACCCCATTTACATAATATGATACTTGTAATACATAAAAGAAATTAATGAACAAGTAACTTTATGATTACATGCTGAAAATGTGTCAAGTGACAAACACCCAATCTTTTTTTATAATCTATTTTATTTTATTCTATTCAAGTCAGGCTCCCCAGCTGTGTTTCACAAAGAACCTAAAGGTCAAATAACTAATAAAATATCAGTTGATAATATATTATAAATATCCAACTAAATATATTGTGTATTGATAATTCTATAAAATACATCTCTATTGGACCGTGTCATTTTTAAACATAGAACATCTAATGTTCAATCAATATATAGCCTAACTGAGCTCGTTCAATTGTAAAATAACTAGTACCGGTATAATTTGTTTCAAATGATATATCATCATGTACTGCATATCACGATATGTCAGAATAACTAGTGTTCTCTAACTCTTTGCACAGTTTTTTGAAACCATAATTATATTTTCTACCATGTTTCTCTTTAGCAAGTAAACCTAGTATTAGAGACGGTCAAAAAATAAATATTTATGAATCATACAATTTCTAAACAGGCCAATCAACTTGTTTGCACGAAGCACTTTTTCGTTTTGTTTTACAAAAATATCAACACATCCACAAAACTAGCGAAAAGTGCATGGGTAAGGGCCCAGTCTCTCATCGTCTTATACAAAGCTATTTAACTAAAGTGAACCCTGATCTCTTTTGAAAAGGAGAGTGAAATAATTTTTTTTTTTTAGAGGGCGAGCCTCTTGACCTTGACCTTGTTCCATTGGATCGTCATTGACGTAACACTGCGACATGAATATAGTCCATAGCTCTTTAACCATATTAGGAGATAATTCCGATTCTCATTTATGTATATTTCATGATTATCTGTCAATTAATCACACATATCATCTCTATAATCAGTCAATATCGCCAACGTTTTTATTTACAAAGTTTGAATAATATATACCGGTATACCAAAAATCATGTGATCATTTAATGATTTGCACACTAAAAATGTCTATACCGTGATATTAAACAGAATGCTACTGGAATTTTCAAATATCAAGTGCACTATGTATTATATAAGATAAAAGAAAACAAAATGGCAGGCTGTAACATCATCAACAAAAATCAATTGCAATTGAAATCAAAATGTGAGCAGTATTGAATTTGATAGGTATTCTTCTCTAAGGAGATAATGTAAACCATTTATGTCAAATCAAATTTAACTTATATACCGTACTAGTACTTTTCATTTACACAATGCTTTCAATTTGTTTTGAAAAATAGGTACACATTAGAAAAATGAAAAATCAACATTATATGACTTTTACCAAAAATTGTACCATTACCGTAAAGTACAGTTTTTGCAGTCCATTTGATATTATTTTAATGGATTCAATATAGGACAGATGGATAATTTTATTTAAAATATTTGGGTGAGCTACCTACGGTTCATTCGATGAACCCAATGAGGTTTTGCTGACATTTGGTTTATATGCTTATTTGGGCTGAATCCCTGTCCAATTCTCTTTCTAGATATACTTATTTCAGCAATTTTGACCTATCGGTAACTGAGCTATGGTCATTTGAATAATGGTGGTCACGCCCATTTTGGCCGAAATTCCTCAAATTGGGTTGGTCATATCTCAGGAACAGTTTGTCCGATGAAGCTTAAATTTGAAATATCATCTTTTTCAGCCCAAATAAGTATAGAAACCAAATTTCAGCAAAATCAAAGGAGTGACGGTTTACTTTTTACGGGATGATTTGACATGACAGTTCTACAGATTTCTAATTGAATTTTCTTTATTTCTCAGAATTTGATAAAATAGCTTATTGTACCATATATTTTCAGCTTAATTCTTTTATTCAAAGCTTACTTACATTTTAGCTTCTTGTAAATGGCACAAATATTCATAAGCTATGTTACACTTCCTCTGTTCATCCATTTCATCTGCTGTAAGACGCTCATCATCAATTGCTGAAATTATAATCACAAATTATTATAGTATGTCTGTAACATCTCTTAGGATGTGGAAAATACAAATTAAAAGATATCGCACAATCAGCATTTTTATGGGGGTGGGGGTTGGTTGATTTGGGTTTTGAATATTGTATAGGTACATAATCTTGAAAAGTACACTACCAGAGATATTTTTACTTTAAAATAAAGCTCAATACATGATCAATTGATAATTTGACTTAACATACATTGTCAATATAAAAATAGCCATACTGACAATATCTACTTTTTAATTTTGTGATTGACACTTTCCTTGGCCTTATGGTGAAGTCTCTAGAAAAAAGGAAGTTGTCAATGTAGAATTTAAATGCTGATAATCATGAATACACATGGATAATATAGATGCAATTTGGATGGTAAGATGTGAACATTTACTGCTTAATAATTCCCCTTTCTGAGACCAGGGTAAGATTCATCAATAACAGATCATTTATTGTCTCAGCAAGGCCAATAGTGTTTTAAGTTTACACATTGAAAAGAAACTCATTTCAAACCCCAAAAAAGTCCAAAATTATGTGTGCTCATGTTTATATTTTTATCAAAGCTAAGACATTTTAAGACTAACAGTATTATTTTGAGGCTGTTATTCCAATTCTCATAAAAATAACGGACAAAATTCACAAAACTTTTTACTTTGCTCAGACAATAGTAAACGTGTTGCTTTAAATGTAGCGTATAGCAGATTTCAATAATGAACAGGCATTGCTCGTAAAAAGCTCATCTTAGAGATAAGAAATAAAATTATAGTAGAAGAAAAACAAGGCAATCTTATTGTAGTGTTAATAATTAATCTTGGCTCATTATATTAATAGCATTAAGCTTAGGCCTGGTCTTAACTGGTAAGAATGTTCAATAAGCTCAAGGACCATTGATCAAGTCCATACTACTATGATTATTAAAAATCTATTTTCATTGATGATAAAACCAGTCTGACTGTATATAGGATAAAGATCACACTTCTAGTGAACACGCTACAAGAAACAGACTTTGATGTAATTTCATTATCTACTGAAAGTACTATATAGATCATGATTAAAGGATTAACTATCTGAGAACTCCATTGATTGATATTATTAGATTGATTGAAGAAAATGTTCTATTAAATATTAGGTACAAACTTCAAACAAATCAAACAAATTTTATAATGCAGATGGGTAATTGGTTAGATTGTTATAATTACTCATGCATTTTTTGATAATGGAAAGTAATCTGGATAAAGCTTATGATGGCAGAAATTATATAAGAATCTCATCTCATGCACCAGGTAAATGACGCTAGTGTAAATTCTTATTAAGAACACCAGAAGAAAAGGTTTTTTTAATGAGCTGGTTAACCCAATATTTAGAGAATACGATCTATACAACTTTACTTTAGATATGAAACAATGTCACAATGTGCTTCACTAGATAGCTTTTTATTAGGCTACACATGTGATTCACAATGAGAAATAAATTGCACAAACTCCAGAGCCTACTCTTGCCCTGGATTTTAATCATTTATATTGTAGCCTACATTACAGAGCATATACCTGAGACAATAAAGGAGGATTAACATTATTATTTAGATTTTTGAGTAATTAAGAAAGATTCTTTAAAAATAAAACATACTTCTGTAATGTGCCCCACTGACAGGAGGCCCACTGCCATCTTCTGTTGGTGTTTGTAAAGCCATTATAATTTGGAATCAATTTTCAGGTAGGTAATAGTAAAATATCTAGAACACTTAGCTGCCTCACACCAGCCGGTACAATCAATATATCCGAGTTAAATAAAATGACAACAAAACCAAACTCTTGTCTTTTCAGGTTGTTTGTGTAGGCTGGTAGTATTTGAGTGCAAGTAGCCGGCTACTGATTGATGACGATGACAGTATTTCACACTTCACTTATCATCACAATAACAACACAATTAAAATCATAACAAAATTATCATTCTCATTAATGATTACTATTCCATCATCACCGGTATATTTCCTACGATAATCCTTTTAAATTCCACTAAATAAAAGCAATCTAAAATATAAACCGTTGATTCGTTACATTTCGTAAAGCAACAAGTGTCAAGTGTATTACTTCTCGTAGGCGCCACTATAGATTTAAAGAAACCGCGGGAATTATGGGTATATTAGATAACCTTTGACTCTTGACCTAATTTAGCTAATCATCACATGAGGTCGCTACTGTATTTGGCTGTATTCGATTGTCTTTCCGGAACACACTAACAACCCTGAGGACACCATCATGATCTGCAGCCATCAAAAGTTGTCATAACTCATGCGCAAAATACTAAATATAACCCAGAACAGGAGATGCATAACAATTTTGTTAGATCATTAATGATAAGCAATGTTCTATTCACAACTTTATGCTTCCTGCTAAATAGGCCTATTGGTAATGATCTTGCCTATTTTTAAACCATCAAGGACATATTCGAGGCATATGATTCGAACGCACCAAGTTGTTTACAAATGGACGACAGATGCTAAGGATTTTGGTGGCCAGATAAATATGAAAAGGTAGGCCTTGATTTGAAATGAAACCTGTCTGTCTTTCAATGAATTATACAGACAATGTTAAATGTCACAGATAACAACAAATTATCAGTAAATCTACTCTTTGACCACTGTCACAGCCAGTCACAAGACCAGTCATGTTCCCGTTGGCCGTTGTTGTGACCGTGCTTGCGTGGTGAAAAACATCAGTTCAAAGTCTTCCAAATTTGCTCAGATTTACAAAAATTTCGTGATTACATGAGGACATTTATTTTCAAGTAATAATTTCATGGCATCTAGCAAAACACAATGGATTTTTATTAACCCTTTTTTACAAAAATTTATATTGATCAAGCACTAGATACATGAAAATAGCATATATTATAGAAATATTTTCTGGTTTACGTCTTTTGATGATTAAAAATTTGCATACTGATTCTCCACTACAGACAAAGAATGTATTGTGGTCCTACTCATTCATTGGGGTAATTTTTACATGCCTGTGCCCGTGCTTTCATAAAAATTGCTTTACCACAATATTACACCCTATAGTTTTAAAAATATTCAATCATAATTTCAAAGTGTATTAATAAAACTTTATTATGACAAAACAAATATTAGTCTTGGCTATAAATAATAATTCAACAAATATAATAATATTTGATAGTATTGAAAAGATAAAATTGGCTGGTAGATCTCAATTTAAATATGTTAAGTATGTTATGGTAGTCTCTTTCAGCTGGTTGCAAGTTTTTTTGCAGTTATTAGTTTCTCAGTATAATACTTTTGAAGTTAACTGTATTTGTAATGATGGTTTTTCAATGGGATGGGTCTGCCTTTGTCCCTCCACTTTCAAATTTCTTATCACATAACACTACCTAGTAACACCACTGAACAACACATGTGTGAGAATATCTACAATGACCATAAAGTAATGTGGTATGTTTGTGTTTAAGAACTGTACATCAGATTTTTATTCTTATAAGTACTAAAGGTACTTTAAATTGACTTTCAATACCACGTATGGCAATATTTAGAGGATCAAATCATTTTATGCTTTGTAGCATAATAAGCAATTTTAAAAAATGTAGGCTAATTTCAAATTTGAGCACTTTACATCAGAAAATCCCCAAATATAGTAAAATTCTCCCAAATACCGGTATTCTATTCCTTGGGCTCCTTCAGTTTTCAAAAAATTACATTTATTTATAAAAAATGAACTTTATATTAATATTGATATTTGGGAATGGTTGCTTTTTGGAATTAAAAAATGTTACAATTAGATCACATAAGCTTACTAGAACAGATATTCATAAATATTCATTAAATGCATATTTAAGTATTCATCGTAAAAATATATAGACAATATTTTATGTGGACACTCTAGAATCCCAATACAGAAATAGCTTGTCCTATAATACAGAAATTCCCATTAGTCTCTATTGAATAGATTTCTTTCTGTACCAGGTTAATGTATTGTAAGGCCATTTATTGAAAAAAATACCCAGCGTTCAAATAGTGATTGTTAACACAATTCACACAATACAAGTGTTTGTTGATATGTCACTATGCAAGATTTCCCTGTTTCTTTTGAACAAAATGGTGGTAAAACACTTTTGGAGATATGGATTATAAGCATTTTGTTTTCATTAAGCCTATACAAGAAAATTGTTTTGAAATATTGATATAGGGTAATTAGAGAACTGTGTTATATAAGTATATTATTTTATTTTTGTATAGCTATCAAGAGTTTTGACCTTTTGCTGGACAGAAATAAAAAGATTTTGTCACGTTGCACATTTAGAGTAAATTTTTATTGAGATTGTGATCTATCTAGATTGAGATTGTCATCTATCAAGATTGAGATAGTGATGCATTGAGATTATATTCTATCTAGATTGAAATAGTGCTCTATCTAGATTGAGATTGTGATCTGCCTAGATTGAGATTGTGATCTGTCTAGATTGAGATTGTGGTGTATCTAGATTGAGATTGTGATCTATCTAGATTGAGATTGTGATCTATCTAGATTGAGATTGAGTTTGCCTAGATTGAGATTGTGATCTGTCTAGATTGAGATTGTGGTGTATCTAGATTGAGATTGTGATCTATCTAGATTGAGATTGTGATCTGCCTAGATTGAGATTGTGGTGTATCTAGATTGAGATTGTGATCTATCTAGATTGAGATTGTGATCTATCTAGATTGAGATTGTGATCTATCTAGATTGAGATTGAGTTTGATCTAGATTGAGATCGAGATAGATTGAGATTGTGATCTATCTAGATTGAGATTGTGTAACAATTTGGCACAGTACCAATTTTCCTTGTAACTATATTAATGTCACCCAACTTAATGTCCGTGACCAAATTTTGTGTTCAATTTGAACTTTATAAATTACCAGTATTGTTATTTTCAGCAACAATACATAACAGCATCAACTGTTTGTACCAAACAAGATGAGTGTCCAACGTTACGATAAACCTGTACACACAGTATACGCTCCCTATGAGACTCACCAAGATTTTACTGCCATAGCAGTTGGTGGAAGTAGGGAGCAGAAACGCAGAAGTGATGGCCCAATGATCGTCAGACAACAGGAAGACCCATATATGATGCGTCAAGATTTACAAGTGAACCGTAATCAGGACTTGGCTCCCTTAATCATACGTCAACAAGATCCTCCTCAGCAACTACCCCCTGTCATCATTCGAGACAACAGTTATGATCAGTTACCACTGATACAAGCAGAAGTCAACCACCATCTTGATAGTCTAGAGGACAGAATTTCTCAACAAGAACAAAATACACAAGCATTATTACAGAGAACTATGAAAATAAAAGAAGATGTCATTGATAGTTTGAATTTTACTCATGGAACCTGGAATGATGAGAAACATGCTCGATCATTGCTTCAAGAACATATTAGAAGTATCACAGCTGTTGTTAACAGATTAAATCATGATATTTCTGTGAGTTTTTTTCAATTTTTCAAACTTCCAAGATCATTTGTTTAGGAAAAGATGATTAAATTGTATCTCTTCCTATGGTAGTTTACATGCTTGTCCATGCAAGAGCAATATATTTTATTATGTTTATTCATACTATGTTCAAAACAGTCACCAGCAGAACAAAAGCAGATGTTGATTTCCATTTAGCAGGCAAAGCATCTAGTCAGCCATTTTTTTTTTAATTTTGATATCTTTTTTACAAAATTGTTAAATGGACTTTAATAATCCGCAAAAGTTGTGGGACTCATTTTATGTCTACCTCAATCATTTTGTTAGTGTGTTAATTTTGACTTATGGATTGCAATTCATGTCCGTCTGCTCCTTGTGATCAAATCACAATATCCCATATTTTGTTTTAGGCATTAGAGGAATCTATAAGACACAGAGATAGTGCTACAGTGGGTCAGAACAGTGCTTTAAGAAACCTAGAAGTCCATCATGTTGGTTCATTAACTGATGTCCGTGGACGTATAGTAAGATGTGATACGTCTATAGCTAGATTAGGTGTAGAAGTAAAATCTTGTGTACAGTCCATTCGTACGTTATCACAACAACAACAAGGTTTAGCTAACAGTCAATCAGAAAGAATGAATGGCATTGAATCTCAGGTTTGTTCAATTAATAAAAAAAACCAATTCCATTAAACAAAAATCTTGACTACATCGTACCAAGTTCAACTCCTCCAAAGGGAAGTACCATCAGGTGTTTGGAAAGGAGTAAGCTATGTTAAACGAGACATAGTTAGATTTGTTGTACTTGACCATAATATTTGAATTAGATTGTTGTGTATGAGAGTTATTTCCCATGATTCAGTCTGCTGTCATGACTCAACCGAATTAGTGTTTTATTGATATTACAGTGAGATGAGATTAATATTCTCAAAAAAGCACTGGCCTAGGTCATGAAAAAAGAAACAAATGAAACTTTGTTTGGTTTTGATGAAATTTACTTTACATCTTTTGTAGGTGTCTGTGGTGTTTGCATTGAATTTTACCATTAAAGTTTCATTCAGACGTCTGTGGCTCCTGCAATTTTACTAAAGGTGTTTGATGATGTCACTAATCGCAAAATATGCTTCATCACATAAGGGCCTTTGTGGTTAATGATGTCATCAAACACTTGATTTTAGTGGAATTGCAGGTACCATGGAGGTCTGATTGAAAATTGAAATTTTGGAAATCCTCTTAACAATCCCTTTAAGTTCGAATTGTCATTCCAGATAGCTACACTGTCTCAACATGTCGAGAGAATAGCAGGTGAAAGTAAAATTAAAATACAACATGTAGAGGGGGATACATCTCAATATTTAAACATGTTAGATGGTAAGACAAGAAAAATGATAGAAGACTTAAAGAACTCACTTGGTGCTATACAAGCCATGCAGGAAACAGAAAGAGAACGCATGGAAGAGAGAATTATTGCTATGATAGAAAAAGGAGGTGGAATTAGTCAATATGATCTAGTGAGTGTTATAAGATTTCTTTTTAAAAGATGACTATTTTTGTGTATTGGTTACACTGATAGTATCCTTTTGCACCAAATCTAAGCGTCAGATGTCAGCGGTTCCTGCAATTCCACTGAACCAAAGATCTATTGCAAAGGCCCTTAAGTATTATTAGCAGCCTTTGTGATAGTGATTCATATACAGATCTATAATTACAAGAACCACAAACATCTGAAGATAAAATTGAATAATGCAAATAGCAACATTAATATGTTATAAATTTGGCTATTAAATGTAGCCCATCTTTATTGTTCATTTCAAATTCAAGTCTTCACTGTTTATTTGTAGGAAAGATTAGAGAGAAAAATTGATGATAATTATCACTATCTAGAATTAAGAATACAGAAATTAGAGGACGCTACAACTGAACCTTCAACTCAAATTATAGATATTCAAAATGTAAGTATTGGTACTGTAGTTTACAATTTTACGACATCACTGTCACATAAGCTGATAGTACTATCCAAGTGCCTTTGTGATAGTGATGTCATAATTGCAAGAACCACAGACGTCTGACTGAAAGTTGGAATGGTGCTGATCACTGCTATCAGCGTCTCAAAAACACATTAAAGACACTACTACAGCTACTTTTAATACACACATAATTAATCAGGTTGGAAAGTTAAAAATTTGACTTGAATTTTAGTGAGACTATTCCATATATAGAAAACACATATATAGGAATAGACAGTGAAATTTTTAGTTTGAGGTATATTTGAAGGGATTATGTGATTTTCGTATGTTTTAGTACTTCTTAAGAGTATTAAAGCACAATAAAGACCCAAATCAATCCCCGAAAATGACGACTGTTCCCCTTTAACTATATGACCAGCATATTTTATATTGTAGAATGTGGAAGCTTCCCTCTTTAAGAAACTAGAAGCAATAATCCAGAAAAACTGTGATGATATTGCCCGATTAAAACGTGAATGCCGTGAAGGGTTTGTGGTCATTCAAGAAAGTATAGCCAATGCCTCCACAGTTAACGACACCAAACGTAAAATATTAGAGGAACAATTGAGAAAAGAAATTGGACAGTTACGTAAAATGGTTGTCTTAGTTTAAAGATATCTGGAGTTGACCATTGACTCCATCATCTTCAAAAGGTATTAGGAACTCTGCCTTATGCCTTGACAATATTTGGAGATTTTTCTTGCAGCACAGAGGTTTGTAAATTCAGTGATTTGGTTGGATTGTATGCTAGCGAATACAGCAAATCAGAATAACTTACTGCTTATTTGTTAAGACTTTCTATCAAGGGCTCTAAATGGTTGTATTAGCTAGCTTACTTCATTTCATGACTTTTGTGATGCATTAAAAGTACCCAATGATGTCAAGGTATTTGACAGAGTAATACCTTGACATTGTGAAGATTTGACTACATATACCATTACTTTGAAAATAATGGAATTCAAAAGAGGTCTGCTAGCAAATGTATTTGTATTTTGCACACCTATAACTACTCTTTCCACCATTTTGATTTTCTGTGGCATGAGTTACTTGAAAAAAAAGGCCAATTGTGACAAATAGCGCAAATATTTCAAGACTTTTGGTTTTAGATGTCATATTTTGGTCAGTTTTTGATGGAATCAAAAATGTCAAATGGAAAATCATACTGCTGCAATTAGAAGCCTACAGCATTACAAATCATAATTCCATGATCAAAATGAATCGAAAAAAAAGACCAAATTAAAGAAATGAAACTTATTTTATATTATTTATGTTTAATATAACAAAACTGATAGATATATTTTAACAATGAAAATATATTTTAATATTGTAATGAAACTGATATGTTATTAAGGCATAACTGTGAGAAGATATTAATGTTTTATTTATATACCTTATGTTGTTTATTTGTGATCTATTTTATCATTATCAGTAAATATTATTTTCTTGTGAGTAAGTCGCAAACCAGTCAACATTTATGAAAAGATATAAAAAAAGAAAAATTTATGTCAAGTATTTAAAGGGACAGTGGCGCCATTTTTTGGACCAATCATACTTTAGTTTCAGAAACGGGAAGTTTTCAGCTAAGCCAATCAGTACTACTGTTCACAGCTCACCATCAATATTTGAGCCCTCAAATCCATGTGTGTCCAGAACTATCTACGTTCGAATGTAAAATTCCTTGTTTGAAGTATTTTTAAAGGAATTAACCAATTTCCGTACATTTCTAGTACTTCTGAAGACTATTTACATATATTCAAGACCAAACTCAACCCCCCAAAATGCCGCATCTGTCCCTTTAACAGGTTTTTATAATTAGGATGTGTGTCTCCTATGCTTCAAATAGTAATGAATGAATTTTTGTCATTGGAAATGAAATGATTGGAGGTTTACATCCTCAATTCTGCATCATGTGGGTTAATGAAAACGGACAACGTCATGCAGAGTACAATGAGGGAAATTATGCCATTACAGTGGCATTAGCCTGCTCTATTTCGATTTTCAACTGTCGAGAGATCTTTAACCTGCAAAGCCTTTGTCACTGGAGAAACAAGTATTAGTTAGAGCACTTAATGTTAAAAAAACTTTTGAATTGCTATTATGTGATGATAAATATATAATACCGCCCAGTTTACCTCATAATTTACAGAAATAAATATTAAGTAATATTTTTATATCACCTTTAAAATTGTTCTCTGGAAACTTCCCAAATTTTTAATGCTTCCTTGGTGTTTTAAAAACCCAAAATCAAAGACTGCTTATGAGACTGATGAGGTCATTTCCTGTCATTAGGCCTCACTTTATCAGAATTTCATCAAGTTTCGGTCAGTATTTTTTTAATCCAATTAATATATGTCCAAACCCTTTTGTCTTCCCTAAGATTGTTTTGGTCCATTTGATCTGAAAATATTAATCCCACTAATCCAAACCAATTGTCTTCCCAATTTACTGTATTGTTATCCAAACATATGAAATGCAATTGAAATGTGTATGGATGTTAAAACTAACCTTACTTCCACCCCTTATGTTTTGCTTCAATTATTCAAGAACATTGTATCAGATTATAATTTTGAAATGATACGGTTAGCTGAAATTAAGCTCTATCAGTTGGGAAAGGCAAATACATTATTAATGAGTAAATTCTTGGAGGCAAGGAAGGGGTGAGCGTTATACATTCTTGCGCACTATATTCGCAATTGTACAGTATATATACCAATAAGTTCTTCTTGTGATCTCCGCCCTCTGTGATATCTTCTGTATCGGTTATTATGTTAATGCTATAATTATATAGCTACATGTTGTATTTATTTTTCTTGTTAATATTCTATATACAATTAGTTATTAAACTTTAAATCCTTAGTGAGTTTTTCTAAGTTATTACAGTGGTTAACCTCCGGGTGCAAACCAAAAATAACTTTACTGGTCATTGCTTACTTACCTTATGCTTCTATGTCTCAATAACATTGAACGTTTGCAACAAAGAGTTTTTAGAGAGCCGTAAGACTCCTTTCTTCGAAGCCGTGTTTTGAGAATTCTATTTAAGAATATATTTTTTTAGAAATATTAGTTCAGATTTGACTATTGTGGACAATAAGAAACAAGAGTTAGGGCCCTTGGTTGACAATCAGAAAGCTTTTTAGTATTTGAGTACATTGATAATGTAGTTGGAAACATCTGCCTCTATTCCAGCCTCTTATGGATATTTAGACAGTGACAGCTGGTGCGGCATGGAACTGATTTCTACCCGCACATCATTTCTATCAAGTTTCAAAATATCATTTGATATAATGAATGCACCAGATCTAATATTCTTTTTTTTCCAAAATTTCTCGGGGAACCCGCCAGTGGGCCAGACTCGACGAGGTGATAGTTATGACAAGCATCTGCTCAGCTTTACAAATACCTTAGCATTTAAGTAGACGGGAACATTAGAACCATGGAGACATTGTGTCAAAATGTGTCATTCCATAAGATTGCACAGGGCACACTACATTTAATTCTCGGTGAATAATTCTATGTTATATTTCAAAAAGTATAATAGGCCTAAACTAATCTATGACTATATACTAATACTGTAGAACTTATTGTTATTAATGATATGGGAGCGACTCTAGGTATAAGAATACACTTACAAGGTTACAACTATTTAACATGTAGATTGTGACACGATACCAATAGGCAACCATTGATCTCAAATGTAATGTATTATCTAATTTTGTTGATTTTCCTTCACAAAGTCATAAAGTGTGCTGAGGTGCTTGCTCGGTTGTGTAGAAATATATTCCCATCACTCAAAACCATTCTACAATTCTATGAAATGTCTGGAACTTGGTTGGTTGGTAGATTGCAATATAACCCCTGGTACCAGCAGAAGTCAAAAATAGTTCCAACCATCGTTGATATTGACCACGCCCACTGAAGACAATATCATTCAGCTTGCACACGCCTACTTGTCGGAAATCAAAAATATGCATTACGTTGTCATTTGAAACTATGAAAGGACAGAATAATGTCAGGAAAAGCGTGTCTACTATGATACAAGAAGACGGCTCTGGCGCTAAAGAATACCTCAATAAACCAATATGGACATTCAAAGCTACAGAGAATTTTGCTTGGCAGAAGGGTACTCCTCTATGGTCAGACTGGGTTTTACTCTACCTATAATGGGCCCATGCATGTAAGTATGTAATGTACATAAAGGTAGATATAATACCACGTGATCTCAATTGAATTCATTCACAAGATTGGATATTTGATTGATAATCTATCTGTACCGTGTCGGAGTCTTTATGCTGATCTTTTTTTCTGTCATTGCGTGCCATGGATTGATAATTAATCCGGACTTTGATTAAGATCCGGTTGGACATCGTACAGGCGTGTGGAAGTTGTGGGAGGATGTATAAATCATCAAATTCAACAAAGAACAATAAATATATCGATGACCTATGACACCAACCGACCTAAATTATATTTATGAAACGACGGAAAAAGTTTGGAGTCAGCATAATTATGTTAAAATACGCGAAAAATTGTAATAGCGGTGTGTCATGAAAATTGTTGTGAATACGCAACCGATAGCAACAAATGGATTTGACTTATTTCTTTCCAAAAGCTTATCCGGTACATTAAGGAAATGAAACTACCCGTACTTCTTGTCCTAACTGTTGTGATTAAGGTTTGCTGTCAATCAGATTCGGGGTCTTGTTGTCGAGATTTTGAGAGGTTGAATGAATCAGTAACAAGTATGTTAATTCGAGTAACCGATCTAGAAGCTCAAAATAAAAGACGGGAAATCAAATCTCGTCGACTGGAAAAAGGTCAGTGAACTACTGTTTTTAGTATCTAGGGTGGTTGAAAGTAACAAATTACCATTCAACAGAAACCAATGGTACAGCGTTAAAGAGACTTGAAAAAGGTTTTCCTCTACTTTTCATGCGTATGTGAGTCATTCATGGCTTCTATTTGCATCATTCCGTTTTTTGTCAGGTCTGTTGTTCCTCTAATTAAAGAAATGTCTTACAAAAGCTGATAATATTAATCAATATTAAACTTTTGTGATAGTGACGTCATAAAAAACTTAATTAGATATTTATAGTGTAATTGCAAGTCCTGCAGATTCCTGACTTAAAGTTGCAATGGTGCAAATAGATGCTATCAATGTCCCCGACACACATAACAATTAAGAAAACCTCTTCACAACCCCTTTAACAGTTATCACTTATTATCATATTGACTATCTGCTTTTCCAGCTTAAAGGGTTCTAGGCTATTTAAGCTGTCCGTAGTAGAAGTAAAAATAACTACCCTACGTCTGGTTTGTTTGATATTCCAGAGAAGCGTAAGAGCGGAATTCGTGATACATTGGTTAATCTAAGTAATCTAAGGTCATTGTAATCATTATTTAGACGGCTATATCCTTATAATATTTATACAGTCAAAGTCTTTACAGGGTAAGGAGAATAGTAAAATGATCGACATCCCTTTAAATCATCTGAAAAAAGCTTTAAAAGTACAGGTGCTCCATTTCGGGGAGTTGATTTGAGTCGTGCATATATGTAAATAGTCATCAGAAGTACAAGAAATGTACGAAAATCGCATAATTCCTTCAAAAATATCTCAAACTATGGAATTATTTTCCTACACCCCTGACACCCTAGTATCACATCCCCAGGGGATGAAAACACCCCGGGTTCGGAACCGTCGCTCTAATAACACTTATAATACTGTTCGAAATGTGAGTTCAAGACGTCCAATGCAAGATAACACAAATCCACTTATCGTTCTATTCCATTTCTTTAAAGTTGTCATGCTCAGTTATGTATACAGGTACATTAATTCTACGTGTAGAGGTTGTAGTTGCCTAGAAGACTTCCTGGGAACTTTCAACACAATATCAGTTCAAAATTCGTTGCACCATTTAGCTTTATCAGCTTTACCTATTGACTTAAGTGTTTAAAGTTCTCAGCCCTTGGGAATCCTGTTACCTTTTAACCTTCATGTAATTTCGTTTCGATTGCCAATTCTCAATGGATCTTTAAAATGTACAGCACGTAGCACATTATCTCTGTTTTTATATAGTCCAATCTGAACGACTAGACCAGAGAGCATCTCACTGTGCATAACCCTCCTTGTAAAAAAAAAACAAAAATGCGAGAGAACATCAAAATTACCCAATTCGCAGAAAAATGCCCTAAAGACCTATTTTATAAGGCGATATATCGTCAGCGTGCATTTGTCCACGACAGCTCTACGACAAAATCGAAAGTGATCGGGGACATATCTGGCATGGTTGATCAAAAGACGCTCCGACGTGCCTTGTCGGCAAGTGTGTGGGTGTTCTCGATAATTTGCCGTGACCTTGCCAAGGTTCTCACTTCCGCATAACGACTTCCACGAACTCGTTGTCTTCATCTCCCGTTCTCTGTGTCTTGTTCGGTAATATCCAATTCAAACAGTCTGAAATCGTTGAAATCCGCCCTTGATAGTCGAAAATATAGGTCCTTCTGGCTCAGTTCTCGCGTCAAACTATTATATGAACCTTGCATTGACCTAGTGTCTTGCCCGTGTATACGTCGCATATAAGTTGAGCTACGTCTCCAATAAATGAGCATAAAGACGGCAAGTTGTCTCCTCCTCCTCTGCCAGTGCATTTCCAATCTATAGAACGCAAGAGGCAGCCAAGTTGCGATAGAATGTCGGTATATGTTTGCACTCGCTGCACGTCCTGATAATTTATCGCCGTCAAAAAATCGTAAGGCATTTTACATCAAAAACCAGTAGATTGCATGTGCAACGTGCCTTAAGAACAGGGCCCTTTGAGTCATTTTTTGATTATGACCTTATATACTTGTAACCTTCTTGTAATAATCGTACTCACAATATCAAACTTTAAAAAAAAATAGGCCTATAATATATTATTCGCAATACGCAATATTCAATAGATTACATAGAAATGGCAACATTGCCTGGTTGAATATATATTGAATATAATGGCTAAGTAGGGGGTCGATTATAATTCACGTAAACTATTATTTTTAATTTTTCCGCATGTCATAATCCCTACATATACTTAATTGTTATGCGAGTTTCGAATGTAATGTAATAAAAATTGAATGAACATAGTTCAAGATCAGTCAATAATTTGACACTCCTATATACCTCGTACCTCGTATATTTACAGTATGACAATCAAGAAAAAAGAAGAAAAAGGTCATTTAGTTGCAGATATAGTTCTCCTTGAAAATTAAATATTGTGCAAAATTTCACCCCCGCAACAGGATTGGCCAAATCTACATGCCGTACTGTCCACGCCTTCAAAAAAAAAGAGTTCAAATCGAATCGTATTTCCATTCTCAGTGTACTCTTATCCACCTCGTTGAAATACACCCACTCAATAATGAGAGTACAACTTATCTGAGAGTTTTTATTGATGAATGTAAGCTATTACACTTCTGTGTAAAGATAACCCCATTTTAAAATATTTTAGGGGTTGTTCTTTCAAAACGTTGCGGCACAAAAATGCTTACATATATTATGCTCAGGTGGCTTGCTAACGCATACACGTTCGGCCAAATTCCAGAGTTTTTGAATATTTGATTTTTACCAATCCTATCTTAGTCTCAGAAACGATATTTTTTTAGTTGAGCCAATCAGTCGAAATTTAAGTGTGATATCCAGAATTATCCGCGTTTGATAGTTGCAAAAAACGAGTTGTCTTCTCTTGAGACACTGTCATA